GGGTCACTGGAGAACACAAACTAGCGTCCTCCCGTGACCCAAACCTCAGTATACCTGCAGTATATGACTCATTTTTCCCTCCAGTGCTGGAGCCGGTTTCTGACCATCCAGCTTTAGCGTTGCTCTCTTCCTCTCCCCCTGACAATCTGGACCGCCCACACTTCCTTCTTCACAGCGTTCGGGAGTCGGGACGTCTGCTGCCGGTAGCGAGCGTCACTGACGCATGTAAGTTTTTCAATGTTGGGGCATATATATTCTGCTTACTAGCATGAGATATATTCCCAAAAAAACAACTTTAATTTGACTTTAAAGAATAAGCTTTTCCATTGTACAGATGTGCTAAAAACTTGCAAAGACACAGGTTGCCTAATTATTGAGCATTGCCATTCACACATTACTTCACCCAGACAAGTTCTTCAATAGAGTGCAGCACATTGAAATGGATGTCTCCCTGCATGACGACAGTAAAAGCACATACCCCTGATTTTATTATTACCCAGTACAAAACCTAGGGTGCGTAGGAGTGCTTAAGCCACTGACATAGGCTACTTTTCTCTGCAGTAAACCATCTAATGAAGTATTTTAATTGCTTTGAACTGTAGGCCTTGGTCACTTGCTCAAGCGGGGATTATACTTTTCCTCTTTTCTTTGCTCGTCACATTTGTTTTTACTGCCAAGAACTCTGTAACAAAAAACTTGTTTGTCTCTTAATTAGGACATGTTGCCCTGTTTATCCTCTTATTGTGTGCAGCAACTCTGTAAATTAACAAATTTATTAGAGTCAGTGTGGACACCATGCCTATTTAAAGTGCCCCTTGCTACTTGTTAATAGCCACCTGCAAGCTTGTGTAAGCCTGCCAAGTGCATGCATCTTTATGCCAAGTTCACTGAAAACAAGGAAAGGAACTTTCTGCACCACCCTGATTTAAAGTACAACAAATGGCCCCTGTATGAGTCTAAATAAGTCCCATATCCAGTTACTTTGTGATATATAAACCTCATCAAAGGAGAATTATGGGGAGAGTGAAATACACTCATCCCAGTAGTTAGAGCCGGCATGTGACACTGAAGCTGTCGCACGTCGGCTCTATTGATCAAGTAATGAGTGATCACATACTACTCATCGATGAGTTCCTGATCTTCTCCCTGCAGAGACTGGTAACTGTCACTCCCCGCATGGATTCCCCCTCCCCTCTCCAATCCTCCAGCGCTGACTGAAGGGACAGACAAGAGAGGGAGCGGGCACAGCTGGTTCTGCCTCCAAATAGCAGAGCCAGCTGCCAATCAGGCAGCGGGGCGGATCCCCACAATATTGTTGGGATCCGTCCCGGCTCCGATGTCAGCATATAGCCCACTATATGCTGAATTTTGGGTCAGAGGAGGACATTAGTAAATGTTCTCCTTTTGACCCAAAAGAGAACTACGGCCAAAAAAAGGTTTGTATTTAATAATGTATATGTGTAAAATGTTTTTTTTGTTTTATTTCTCCCTGAAGTTTCTTCGCGGAGATGCTCAGACTGTGTTTTGGACTGACATAAAGGCAGTACTGTTCCAGTCAGACGTCTAAAATAGACTTGTATGAAGTTTTTCATTTTCCTCCTACCGAGTCACCCAATCGGCTTCAAGAGGTGGATGTTGTGACAAAAGGTCCCTACAGGCACTTAGTTTTGAAGCAACTATTAAATTATTTCCTTTTACTGAAATATACAAGTTGCTAAATGACAATCATATGCACATTTATTTATTTTTATTCACTGCTATTGTCAGCCAAGATGCATAAAACCATACAGTTGTATGCTTGGCAAACGAAAATGTTGTCCTTACCATTTTATGTTCTAATGCAGGGCTCAAAATGTCAAGTCCTGAGCTACTGGCCAGGCTTTAAAAGTTACTCGCCACCAGTTGCCCCACCTAACCCCCTACCCTACCCCGGCCTTAAATCCATCAGGTCAGCGGTGTGACGCAGAGTACAGAGATCAGTAACAATGATCAGTACAGACGTCAGAGGTGCAATGCTAAATACAGAGGCCAGCTGTGTGACGCACAGTACAGAAATCAGTAACAACGCAGAGTGCAGAGGCCAGTGGTGTAACGCACAGCGCAGAGGTCGGTAATGTAACGCACAGCGCAGAGGTCGGTAATGTAACGCACAGCGCAGAGGTCAGTAATGTAACGCACAGCGCAGAGGTCAGTAATGTAACGCAAGGGGGCGAGTGGAGGTTTTGAGGCCTGTTCTAATGTATTATAATAGTAAATACGTTACAATTTCTAATTATTGTGTACGACACGGCCAGTCTTCTATGCTCATTAGTGTCGATGCCCACCTAAGCAGGATGAGGGGCCACTGCAGGGAGCAATAGAAGTGAATAGAACTGAATCATGAAATGTACTCGGAGACTACCGTCCACATTTTTATGTCGCAGGGCATACAAAAAAATCTTTTTTCACTATATGGTTCTTCTATATGTTCATAACATTCAGATATGCTCCCAACAAGTCTGAGTCAGATGACCCATTGAAAACAATGCAATCACTGTCAGATATTGAGTATCAAGCACACGTCGGTGTATTTTCTTCCAGCTCTTTCTATTCCAATCAACTGCTATGTTGCTTTTTATTTTAGTATTGGATGTTTCTTTACCAGTAGGGGTTAGTGCTTGATGTGCAGCTTGTGCACTTTGCTGGACCACTCAACTTCATTGTTATTTCTTTCCTGGAGCCCAGTGTCATTTTTACCCTAATAAACTTCTCAGAGGTAGTTAGAGATCGGAGTTCTTGCATGTATTGATCATTCAGCCGTGTGTCTCTCATAAGGTGGCCATACACTTTACAACCATCGCAAGACCTTAGTCTTGCGATGGTTGTAAAGTAATTTAAGAAACGTACGATCTGCCCATCTTGGACAGGCAGATCTGACTTGCGATCATCGCAAGCCCGCCCCCTGAGGCTGCAATGCTGAACGGGCAGTGTGCGCACACCGGCCCGTTCGGCATTTGTCTCCCGAGCACCGTTCAAACCAAAGGTATGTTATAAAACATTTATACACATATTTTTGCTAAAACATAAAAGTCGGGGTCACGTCGGGTAAATAGACACCAAACATGTCAAGCATTAAAATTGGGTACGCCCATAGGCGACGCTTAAAACTCTTTTACTGCTCATCAGTTTAGTGTTATCGGTGATTGATGGTCCTAAAATCATTGCTCTCACTCCGACGTTTGGGGCGATATGTAACATGTGCGGCACAATAGGCGCAATCAGCGTTTTCGCACGTAGGCGCACCTGGCGCATATCTGAGTGTGTATGTGGTGGGGAGTGTGTATGCTTTTATTTTTTTTATGATTCTTTAATTTTTGTATTACTTTTTTTTTACGGTCCCGGCCGCATCGGGCACAGCGGATCTCCCGGGCGGCCGTGTAATTACAACGGCCGGCCGGTAAGCTGCTCGTCCGGCTCCACCGTCCTCTCGTCACAGACGAGTGGATTTTTCAAGCCCTAAAGTTTTCTTTAGGGTTTAAATCAGAGGTCTCAAACTTGATTCATTTGGGGGCCACTGGACAAATTTTCATTTCGCATGGGAGCCACTTGCCAAATTTCAGAAAATGTAACTATATACGGTACCAGTGTTACGGCTAGTTCACACCAGCCACAGTGCGTTCCAGCTGATTTCTGGCCGGAACGCACTGGATCACATTCCGGCCGGCTCACTTTGTTGTGGGGGAGCGCGGTGCATTGCAGTGAATGGCACGCCCTTAGGCCGAAATAAGATCAGCAACAATGGATCGCGAGGCACATTATGCCTGCGGTCTGGTCCGGTGCGATTAAAATAGTGTTTGCAGCATTTTGATCGCACCGGACCGCAGGCATAATGTGCCTTGCGATCCCGTGCGGCCGGAGGTCGTGGCTACGGTGCCATTCACTTCAATGGACTGCCACGCCCCCTCCTGCCCCACAAAAAAGTGAGCCAGCCGCAATACGAGGCAGTGCGTTCTGGCTAGAATCGGGCCGGAACACACTGCATTGCATCTGAGGTGAACGGGCCCTTAGGGTTGCTCCTTTCTCCTGCAGGATCCCA